AAAAAAAAAAAATGAAATAAAGGAGAAGAAGATTTTTATGAGGAGAGACCTCATATCTTTATGATTTTTTCCGTTTTTTTATAGGTTCTTTCAATAGTAAAAGCAGTTTTGATATATTTCAAAAGATAAGCACATACATCAGTACCGTCTAAAGGTCACACCACTGTTGACATTAATTTGGTTAACAGAATATAAATATAGTATGTTTCTTTCTACATATGAATGTACAAGTTCTTCTATTTATATGGATATAAGTATAGAAATTGATACGGATATATATATAGATATAGATATATATGTTTACGACGCCCACTCGCTTCCCACCTTTTCTTCCATCTCAACTATTTAAAACTTCCCACTCACTGACAGGAGTACATAACGAAAAAGAAAACATAACTGCGATCAAATTTGCTGATACAGAGAGGCAATCAGAGGAATTACCATACAGTAGTAAACAATACATACGGCAAGTTTCCTCCTCAGAGATTATCCGTTTATTTTTCCTCTTTCCTCACTTTTCCACATATTCTCCACGTATGGATCCCCTCCCTTGTTCGTAATTTATGCTCTCTACGGGTTCATTGCGTTGTTGTTCGTCCCGTTCTGGTCTGCAGCGTGCATTGCGGCGTACAGCTCCGGTGCAGAGTGCTGCAGTCCCTCCGGCACCTCTGCGAAGCACACGAAGAGTGTTGTCACGGCGCTCTCCACAGCAGAGAAGAAGTTAATGTGCACCAAAAGAGAGACAAAAAACGCGAGCACGCCGAGTATAATAGACGTATATAGAAGTCCAACCGCAACACCAATGAGTGCGGAGACGGCGAGGGAAAGAAGACCCAGCGTAGAGCCGATGAGTGCATCGTTAAAATAGGCAGCAAAGAAACACTGCTTGCACAACTGCCACGTTCGCTTGGCAGCCTCAATGTAGCCACAGCCGTAGACTGCAACATGAACAAAGGCGTAGGTGTTGAAGTACTCCATCGCGGACTCCAGACAAGAAATCAAGCAGAGAGCGATACATCGTAAGAAATCGTTTTCGTTATTGCGGCTCGACTCCGCCATCCAGCGCAGTGTACGGATGATGGCGACGATGAGAGAGCCAAAGCAGATGGAACCAAAGCTGGTTGTCACCGCACGCTTGAACGAGGCAAGTGTTGGGTTACTTGGCATCCGATCTTCTCCAGCAAAATACCACGTGGCAGTCACGCCCGCCGTTGTTACGTGCATTACATTGGAGCCCACCTGCGCCGTCCAAAAAAAGAGAAGCATCAAAAACGTGATCAGCACTCCATCCCCCACGCCACCATTGCCACTGTTTAGACGATTCAATACAGGAAAAACAGTATAGCCCCAGAAGAATACGTACACAATGGAGAGGACACCCAACCCAAAAGTAAACAGAAAAACGGCTTTGTATCGCATCAAAATAGACAAAGAGGCTTTCAACAGCTCGGCTGAGAATGGAATGCGGTCTCGCACAAGGTATAGCCAAAGAGCCTGAAGCCCACACATGATGACCAACATAACACCGGCGAAAATTTGACCCATAATAAAAGATAGCACTGCAGCAACCAATGCCATTACAGCCGTCATCCCATTTGCAATGAATATCAACTGACGCGGAAAGCAATTAAGAAGGACCAGCGAGCCACATGCCCCAGCCACGGAAACCATGAGATTTACAGCAAGTAAGGCAAAAACATCACCTCCCAGATCAGAAATCGGTGTATCAGAATTACCTATCACTGTACCGTTCACAGGCGGCACGTACGTGGCGAGATTATAGGATCCCCATGCAAGTGTCATGACAAGTGTGGCGAGGAAGATTACTGCAGCCCAGAGGTCCTGGTAGCCCTGCACAACAAAGCGACCCAAACGCGGGTTTCCAGGCGTTTCGTCAGGGAAAAGAGGCACACCAGCCACAGCCTCACCGTGCCAGTTGCTACCGGCAGGTGGTGCGTTGTATACCCCGGCCTGGGGAATGTTGTCCACATCGTAGGTCTTGTATTGACTGGCCTTAAGACCCTGGTCCATCATGTACTTTTATTGTTTGTGATGTGTTCTTCCTCCCCTCTTATCCTTTATGCCTCAGTTGGCGATGTCTCTGTGTGTATCTTTTTTCTCTTGTGTGTTCCAAGAAGAATATCAAATGTAATTTTATTTCGCTCTCTTTTGTGATGCAAAATGCACCCCTATCAGAAAAATCAAAAGAATCTATTTTTTAAAAAAGAAGAAAACATTATACAGCCAGTGGAGCCCAATTCCAGTTTAGCAATAAACAACAATGAGATGTCATCAAGTCATATGCAGTCACATATACAATGTATCTGTGCGTATGCATCTCTTAGTTCCCAACGTCTTCACACCACGACAACTCCTCCTCCGCCTCGGCTGGGGTGCTTTGAGCCAATGCCACTGTCTCTCGTCCTCGCTTCCGTCGTTGTGCACGTGATGCCCTATCAGTCGCACCCTCACGTTTCACCACAACGACCCCCTTTTCCCATGAGAGAGAAGCGTTGTACACCAGACCGGCAGCACGTCGTCTCCTTTGCATGGACGCACAAAATGCCGCCGCCTCACCATAGTAGTTCACCTGTGGATAGCCGAAAAGAACACCAGCAAGGCTGTAAACGTCTTTTAAGGAGCGTGTCGCCAACAGCGCCGCAGAAGTTACTGGATGCAGGCACTCCTCGTGTGACTTTCGTCCAGGAGAGGGTACAGAAACAAGGTTCTGCTGAAGCGAACCAACACCACCACCGTAGGCGCAGCAAAACGGTATTTGTGTGGGCGAAAGTACATTTCGCGCAAAACAGCGAAACTGCTGCTGCAAACGTGCAAGTCCGTGTGGGGTCGCCGTCAAGGGCAGCCAAGCACTATAGAAGACAATAATGGATGTTCGGCCTTTCGCCACATGCTTCGCCTGCAATGAACCAAACACAGCGGGATCAACCGGCCGGCGGCTGCCTTCGCCAAAGCAACAGGTCATGTCGAGGAGGAGACTCTGATGCGGTAGTAGAAACCGCGCCAGCAAGGGTACCCGCTGCTGCTCACCCCACAGCAAGGCCACTTCCCGCATCGAGAGAGAGACGGCATCTGCCTGAGCAAGCGGTGAGCGATGCCGGTTAATCTGCCAATTGGCCAGCGTGGACAACTCGGACGTGTCACGGGGATCAACGGCCGCAACAATCCAAAGATTCATCACGCACCCGAACTCATGTCGTAGCCATCTTCGAAGTTGTGCTCGATCAGTGCACGCCTGATGCAGTCGGACCGCTGCCACCTCTCGCATGCAAGATGTCGCGCGGATGTTAGATGACGACGCATTCCTCACTCCCAAAGCGACAGGGACAATAATAGCAACAACAGACGGTGCAACGGCAGGAACGCTGATAAAAGCCAACAGTGACACCTTCAGCCGCTCCAATCGCACGGACACGTCGGGAGTATCTTCGTACACGACGGCCTCCATGCGGTCGCAGCAAGGCGATGCTTCAAAAACATAGAACAATACAGAACAAGACGACAGAAAATAGAGAGAGAAAAGTGTGAAATAACAACAATAATAATGCAAACACGTGGTAAGCACACCATCTGCCTTTCCCACCACAATATTGCCCGATGAGGACATTCCTTCTTACTAATACTGGCAGCATTGAGGAGACCCACACCCATTTCGGTGCGTCAATCTTGCGGACGCCTGACGCTGGAGAAATGATTCCCTGATTGCCCTGGAGGTGGAGGTGGGGGTGGAGTTGGAAGTCGAAAAGAGCGGCTGCTGGTGGTGCCCTCTTCGTTGCGTGATCGTCCGCGTGTAGCAGCGAAATGTGGATTTCTATTCCTCCCCTCCGCTCTGAGATCCCGTGACACTGTCTCCCTGTACTTCTTTAGAAATTCGTTTGCCACGTCTTCAATCTGAGAGTATCTCTCCACCTCGCCGCGGCACCACCCCTCCCTCTCGGCAGTGTGGCACTCTACAATTCTCAGCATATCCTTGTGTTGTGCCACCAGCGCCTCACACCTCTCCGTCCACCCCTCTGCCTGACGAAACCGTTGAATCTCCTCATTGCGGGATGTCTCTATGCCGAGTATGTCTTCATTTAACGATGCAGTGTCTCGTGGCCGGTCATCATGCTCATGCGGCACTGGGGTGCCGCCACACGAAATGGCCCCACGGCTGCTTGAGAGTGCCCTCTGTGTCAGTGTATACTGCACGGCGGTGTGAAACTCTTCTGTGAAACCATCCGCTGCAGAGAAGGGGCAGCTGCGGCGGTCATAAACTGCCCGCTGCATGGGGATCGGCAAGACATCACACAAATCTCTATAATTTCGGCAGCCATGTCCAACCATCTGCGAAGTCTGTCTCCCAAACAGTATCTGTCGCCAAGCATTCTCCACGTCCACAGAAAAAGGCTGAGAGGAGACTTTGCCCGATGAAACAGTAACTGAAGAGCCGACCAGACCTACTCCGCATCTACCGTCATCTGCATTCTGTGAATTATGCAACAATTGGCTGGGGGTTCGCTGCGTCGAATGCCTCACATCCACACCTGGACGAGCACACGGTGGCTCATCGCAAGACGCTGGACGAGGCTGCACCACAGTCTCTGAAAAGCCGTTATCGGGTTCTAAGATAGTACAGAAAGAGGAAGAAGTTGGCCCTGTGGTTGACATTGCACACGCGAGATCCTCACTCTGGTTGTCCCCAACCCCGTGAAACTCCCTGGTGGGGGTATCCTCGAACGGTGTGCCTTCTCTGTTTACGCAGACTGTACGACGCAAACGCAGCTGCAGGTGCAAACGTGCACACTGAAACACCTGTATGGCCTCCGCGTAATCCATTGGCTCTACCCCATTGATTTCAACAATTTCATCCCCTTTCTGCAGCCTTGAGGCCACATCAGACGTAATTTCACCAACCCTCAGGGGAACACTACGACCACACAAGAGAAAGCCCCATGAAGAAGACTTGTCTGCACGTGAAAGAAGCACTGACACAAATTTGACATCCACAACCGTGTGTCGGTCAGATGATCGGGAGCTGCGGCCACTTGATGATCGCGGAAGCAAAGAGGCCTCAACTGCTGGATCGACAAGATCTGTAGAGAGGGGCTCGCTTGTAGCAGCACCGGACATTTCTTTCTCCTCATGCTTTGCCCTTTTCATCCCCTTGAAAAACAAAAGAAAAGAAAAGTCTTGTTCCACCAGTGAGGCTATTTTGATATGCACACCCGTTTCACAAGGTTGTAACACCTTCACGAGAGACCAACATTGAGTCAAAATGAGAGGAATGGAACCGTACAGTTGGCACCAGAGGAAAATTTATGGGGGTGAGAGGGAGTACGTACACAGACACTCTCCTCATCTCACATACACAAACAAAGAGACACAGAGATTATATATATATATATATATATATATATATATATAGATTACACATTGCCTTGATTAAGGAACCTATCCCCCTCTGGTTCAAACCAAATACCTTCAAAAACATCAAAGGGGAAGTATGAAGGGAGAGAGTTCACATTCGAATTTCCAATACAGATCCCACCCTCCTGGTTTGACAGGAGAGTGTAGCACACTTGAAAAGTCAAACATTCTTGACAAACACACACACCAACACCATAACTACCATCACCATCGAAAAAAAAAACTCTGCAGGCAATGACTCCTTCACTGTATAGGTTATCTTGTACGTGACTGAGTTTTTGCTATTATTGTAGCTGAAGCAGCAGTTTGCAATTTTTGATTAAGTAACGTTACAAACTCGGTTGTGTCTGTACCAATACGACTTAGTAGTGTAAGGTAAATGACGATGTACTGTTCCAACCGTTGTACCATGCCAAACCGTTGTCTCTTCATTGTTGATACTATATCATATACCGTTTTATCATGTAGAGTTCCATTCTCTAAGTGAGATAGAACACCATATGTTCCAATTAATGTACCCGTTCGCCCAATTCCGGCACTGCAATGCACAAGCACAGGTACATCTGTGGGAGCCTCCTTAATTATTGAAAGAAGAGTTTCAAAAGAGGCAGCAGAAAGTGGCACTCCGTGATCTGGCCAACCAGTATATTGAACTTGAAGAATTTTATGTGATGGTTCTTCAGATCGTTGTAAAATTAAATGGCGTCGCGTTATTTTTAATTTCGTATCAACTTCATATGGTTTTAGTGGATCAGTTGAAACTTTTATTCCAACAGATCCTGGTGCTGAAATAAATAATTCGTTTTCCTTTGGCCAATAACAATCGGCCTTGGCAATTCCCCCTTCATTAAGTTTTGTAAGCATAATGACTAGACTTATTTTCTTTTCATAAAGAACTGTCAAGAAGTCATGTATACCATGAGACAAAGGTGCTTGACAAGCCACAAAGGTGTGGGATAAACCAAGATCGATAAGATTACCATTAATGTAACATTTTGTAGATGATCCACTTCCCACATTCCCGGTATCGGTAGGCAGTGGATAAATGGTTGCTTCATTGGCCAGGATATCAAGATACCGGTTCTTGTGCTTGTTCTTCAAGGAAGAAGTGAAGTTGATGCGTCGTGGATCTTCTTGCCGCTGAAGTTGCGTGAACTCTGATTGTACGCGTTCATAGAATGATGTTGGTGAGAGTTTGGATATGGTTAACCTATCATCATTGTTTGTTTTTTCAGGCATACCTCCTGTTTCCTGCTGGGACATAGATAGAAGGGAGTAAGATGTATCCCTGTTGTCAAAAAAAAAAAAAAAAACACCACTATGCGCCACAATCCATATGTAGAAGAGGAATAGCAACATCAATAGCAGTAGGGGCAATATTGCAAGAAATAAAAAAAAAGGAAGGAACAAGAAAAACATACATAGATATCATTTTTACTGTATTCAAGAAATAGGAAGAGAGACAGACAATGCACACACAAACAATCTCAAAAGGGAAAAACAAAGCCCAAGAGAAAGAAAAAAATAATAATACCTGAGAAAAAGAGGAAGAAGAAAAGAAAAAAAAAAAACAGACGTATTTTTTTTTTTTTTTTCCATCCTCTACCTTAATCGATTCCACTTCTAACGAATCAATGTAGCGCCCTTTGTTTTCCACAGAGTATGCAATGAGAAAGAAAAAAAAAAGAGAAATACTTCCTGTTTTTTTTTTATTTATTCTCAATCTCTGCATCCAGGAAGACATAAACACAAAAACAATCAAACACGGAGTTAGAAACTTATAATCAGCCAGCTAGAGAATGTAAACAGACCGATATTTGAGTTACACCGCAGAGATAGAATCTTCTTTCTCTGAATTAAGTGCAATGCCCAAGCGAAGTTTCAGTCCATCAACGTCTTCATGGTCCACTAAGAGCTGCAGTCGGGTACGCGCCCTCAATGCAACGGAGTAAAATATACCACCGACGGCATTGGGAGCTTCCACTTCTAGCAATACTGTACCAATATCCATGGACTCCAGTCGCGTCCGCAGGGATTCGTCTTCAATATCAGTGAAGAGAACATCCTTCAATTTACCACCTTTGAGGAGACGTTCGATCAAACTCACATGTACGCGCAGTAAACGTGGAGAGTTTTGCATTAGTTTTGCGAAAAGTACAGCAGACTCACTTGCTATGCGCCAACCACCGTTAAGGGTTTCGTAAGCAAATACGCGTAGACCAGCGGAAACTACTATAAGAGAATCCGTCTTTGCCTGTAGAACTTCCTGTGCAGAGCGGGAAACGATTGAACAGTTGGTTTTTAACGTAAGACTCAACTCACGTTCCCCTGTTGCTGCTCGTACAACGAGTTGCTGCGTTGGGAAATTCTTTACCTTATAAAAACTCTCGATGGCATTTGTAATAGACGTTGGTGCTACTATGTATTGTGGTGGTACCCTCTTTATGATATTAGTAGTAGTAGTAGTAGTAGTAGTAGTAGTAGTAGTAGTAGTAGTAGTAGTAACGTCCAAAAGATTTTCGTCTGATTTCTCTACTCGCATTTTCTTCTCTTTGAAAGATTCACTGACATTGTTATTATTATTATTATTATTATTATTATTATTATTATTATTATTATTATTATTATTAGTATCACCATTGACACTGATACCACTGGAATCGGTTTGCTCTACTCCACAGTCATCACGCTTCTGAAGTCGAAATTCACTGATTTTGTCAAAAACAGCGATAAAGAAGGCTCCACCTTTGCAATGAGTAGGGAATAAACGCATACAAAGACGAAGATCAAGCTCATTTACAGCATCTGATGTATATGCTCCTGGTGTATTTGGTGGAAATAGTGCTTCGTGAGCCTCATCACATGGTGCCTCCATCACAACACCTTTAGTGTTTGTTACCACCCATCGCTGCAGTCCCGGTGCAGAGTTTAATCCTGGAAGTAATGAACGTGCATCCACAAGTTTCATCGCACCACCGGTACGGTGTACAATCTGAGCCACTACAGCTTCATTTTCAATAGGGTTCATAGAGCATGTACTGTACACAAGACGACCTCCCACTCGAAGTAAATGACAAGCACGTAATGCAATCTGAATTTGTGTCTTTTGTAGAGTAATAGCTTCTCTAGGTGACCAAATTTTAAACACATGTGGTGCCTTACGTAATGTACCATCACCTGAGCAGACAACATCACAAAGAATCTTATCAAATCGAAGTTCTCCATCAACATCAACAGATGATAAGGATGTTGAACCAGTTGGTGATGACGGTGAGGATGATTTTAAATTCACATTAGGAAAATAACGTGCATCGTGATTTGTGAATAGTGCAAAAGGGAAGAGAAGTCGAAGTCGCTTTACCTGGTGCACAAGCATATTCGCCCGTTTTGTATCAATATCATTAGCAATAACAAGTCCCTCACTTTCGTAATCAAAGGGAAATGGTGAGACATCTGAGTTTGCTGGAACCAGTTTGTGTCGACCAAGAGCAACAAGCATCTGTGCTGTCTTTGAACCCGGCGAAGCACACATATCGAGACATCTGTCATTTGGTTGAATATCCAACAGGAACGGTGGTAGCATAGAAACTTCCTCCTGACGAGAAATAGTTCCAAGTGCTGTTTGTTGAATCAGAAACTGTCGCAGTGTTTGCATATCTGGACGTTTACGAAATTCCGTTTTCCCTGCAAGAATTCTCCACGCCATTCCAGGGATAGGATACCACGGAATAGGTTCAACAAGAGATCGATCAAGAGATTCAAAATAACTCGATACACTCTTCGCAAGGGGATCAGTATCGTTAATCCATATAGTAGTTGGAAGTGGTTCTCGAAATAGTTTCATTTCAACCTCCCACTCTTCTGGTAGGCAGACCTTCTGAAGATCACAGTAATATTTCTGCAGTGCAGGGCACTCAAGTTGACGTAGCATATCCTGATGATTGGTAGCCCCCCAATTACCGGATTCATCATACACTGTCTTCACCTTCAACTCACGACGAGTTTTTCCAAAGGATTTCAGTTTTTTCTTCGTTTGCGGCTGCTGCTGCTGCGGCTGTTGCTGATTCTGTTCTTCTTGTTGACTCATTCTCAATGCAGCAAAGTATGTTGCAAAGCTAACACGCACACACACAAAAAAAAAAAAAAAAAA